AAATGCAGGAAGTTGAAATTCAGGAAATCCCTTGGAATTAATAGGGAATGTACTCCAGCAATGATGAAAAATATATAGGACAATTTAAAAAAAATGAATTTTGAGAAAATTCCTCTGGGAGGAAATTTATTCCTTTTATGGACTTCGCATCTCAAGTTGAATGGTTAGAATAAGTTTTGAAAGGGAAGAACTTCATGCCTTCCTGGAGAAGACAAAAAATGCGGTAATTAAGTTGCAATCAGACGGGAAGACCTCACAAGTCCATTCGCGAGATATTTTCTCTACAGGTAATCTCCCCTAAAAGACCTGGTTTTCCATAACAATTTTCTGAGCATTAGGGCAGGATGGGATTTAAAGAATTTCGTAGGTGGATCGATTAGACTCCCTAGATGAAAGCTTTTGAGGACGAGCAGGGACGCAAAGGAACGGTCTGGACCGACCCGCGACTCGATCACCTTAGGTCACGTGGAAGAGAGATTGGAGAATCGAAAGTTGCACCGTCTCCATATAGCTGGGTTGCTTTGGAAACGGAGTATGCGTTCCTTCAGCATTTCTGAGTCATTCATTCCTATCAACCAGACGAACTCACTCTTCGCTAAAGTACCTTTACTTGCCCAATCAGTGCAGAACTCCTTCAGCCATCAGATAAAATACAATCGCAAAGGTGCTGGCCCAATTATCCAGTATCGATGGTGCGTGTCGCAATAGCTTCAATTATGCACGAGTCACGGTTGAAGATTGAGGGTCGATGGTTCTACGTATGAGTCGAAACGTAAAGAAATAATCTTTAGAGCAGCCGCAGTATTTTTCGGAGCTGATTTCCCGCCTGGGATCGACTCTCGTAAATGAACACTGGTCCAAATCTCTCGAGAGGGATTGGTCATTACGATGCTGAAATGATCGCGTCTGCGCAAGCCTAAGATCTAAGCTGGATGCAACCTGGATCCTGCTTTCACCTCCCCCTGTTGTCCCTGCCGATCTGCCGCGATCAAACTGGTCGAGTTGGCGAAACAACCTTCGGGGTATGACACGAGAGAAAAAGGGTCAATGGTATCTCTAAAGGAAAATGCATTCAGGGAAGTTGGGGAAGTGGCGTCATCTGTGACCTTCTCTCTCTCAATATTCCGGCATTTTCCAAGTTTTCATTTCACAACGTAAAATTGCGATCGTGAAAGATTACTTGGTTTTCCTATCCAGCGTTCGAGTTCCTCTTTTTAGACTCGGTCCTGCCATGACTCCGAAGTTGAGAATCAACCATCGATCAAAATTTCTGCAGCAATTTGTTGAAATGGCGTTCTGAGACTGCAGACAACAAAACGTGCAATGAATCTGGCTTATAATCAACTTACAATGGGAGCCATTGACGGCAACTGAAACCACATCTATTTCCGTCCACGGCCATGACTGTTCGCAAAATCTTACTGCTTATTTAGACGGGGCAAGGCGACCAGTTCAAGTCAAGCGCAACGAGGTTCCCTGTTGATTTCTGTGCGCGTGTGACATGTGTAAACTTTCTCCATTGATTGATTTCAGAAGTTTGTTGTAAGATTTCCTATTCCTGACTTGTTCTCCTCGGGAGTGAATATTTGCCCCAAAGGGCGATCACTCAATGTCGCCCTACGAAATACTCACTTGTTATTTATCACCCTATAGCATTCTCACATGCGATTGGGTCACACTGTCCCAAAATCGCATGGTTGCTCACAAGGGTGTGAGCCCTCGTGTGACCTCTCGGGAAGGGATTTTCTCCTTCCTTGTCAAAGGAAACATTGGATCGATTCGGTCGCAGGCCAGTCTATCCCAATTGTCCCATCTCTCCGTTCTTGAGCTAATACATAATTTAACGTTAACCGCAATCGTTGCATCGATACTGGGTGACTTGGCAAACACTTCAAGTAGGCCTTATATACTTGAGAGAGCTGTGTAGAGAACTATGCTTCGTGATGTCCATGGCGAAGCACAAAGTTAATGGGATATTTAGATGTCCCCCTCAGTTTTTAGATGCTCTCCATGACAAATCACTCCTGCGTCTGTGAATTAATTCGCTACCACTGAGGCGGAGAATAATGCACTGGTTAGTATAACTGGTTTCATCACAGGAGGACGTAACTGATGATTTACCTGATGCCAAATCCCACTTGCCCACCACTCATAACTGGCAAATTGGACTTTGGATTTGGGTTTCCATATTCTCAACGACATAATGCGTGTGACAATACATTTACAGCATGATCGCGGATGAGTTTTTTGCGGCGACATCTGGAGAAAAATTTTGTCAGAGAAGTCCGTGGGGATCGTTAAATGATGCCCTTTTTGCTTGTAAGAAATCCTATACTATTCCTGTACAATTTTATAAAGTAGGCGTTCTGTAGGATTTCTGAGGATTCTTAAGACTGCATGGAAAGTTTCATCCTCATATCCATGTCTATAATTTCAACAAGAGGACTCGAAGGAAGTCATTTTTCAAACGCTTCCTGAGACCACGAACGCTCGTTAAAACGCAGTCCCGAGGGGAAATCTTCCTATCTAAATCCCTTTTAAAAATTTATACAGGTACCTCACCGCAAGAAGGGCATTTGAGCATTTCTTCAAATGTTACATGAGAAAGGAAAAAACATCCTGAAAAATATGATGATGTAGTCTGATCAGCTCGAATGCTCCATTAGCATCCCATAATTCCTAAACGACGAATGTTAGGGAAATGTCTTTTAGGAAAGAAGTACAGACTGATTAGGTGAACTCAGTGATACTGCCGAATAAGTGGGTGCGAATGGCTCCGGGCTAATGTAGGCCATAGCGTCTGCCCGCTAAATTAGGTCCCCTCAGGGTGCATGCCTTCGAAGTCGAACTTTAACTATAGCACGCAATCCAACAGTGGTTTGTTTTCCTTTCTGCTTTTGTGAAGGAAAAAAGTAGGAGAGTTGTGTCAGCATCCATTCATGGGTTAAGACGCATCATTTCTAGAACATGGTTAAACTTAGTGTCAGTCACTCAGTCACCCCTCAGTCGCTAAGTCAAGATCGTCTATATGTATTAGGTACCTGTAGTCTTCTTTCTCGTGAGGGATTATATTGTTTTTTTTTATTCTTCGACCAGATCTTTGTCTTTTGTTGTATGTTCACATTGAGAGCAGTTTCCATAAAACTTCTGAACAAATAAATGCGGAAAAAAATTACAATATAATAATTATAATATTCGCAATCGAAATCGCCTCTCTCTGCTCACTCAACCGTTCCTCAAATTTTCTGATTTCGATTTCGAAAATTGATTCCAAGATCATCTTTTATTAGTTTCACACTAACTATTGCAGCAAAAGACACGATGAAAAATCGCCAACGCAAATGGAATTAATGTCATGCAGAGGACAACGTGGTATTGCCATCGTCGCACATACCTCAAGAAATAAGAAAAAAGGGACATGAAAATGCAAGTTGATATCTTCATCGCACTCCTCGAAAACTCAATACACGAATATAAAAGGAACATTGACATGAATATTGCACTTGCAAGAAACTTACAAGTTCGTCAGCAATTCCAAAAACCAATGCAGTGGATGATATGTGGAACTTGAAGGGACAGGCTAAAAATTTTCTCATAACAACATTAAACTTCGTTATAGAGAAGCTTTTAAAAAAAATATTGAGCTAACGGCAAAAATTCGTAAGAGAGGTTATTTGCATAGAGGTTTCTTTGATGGATTGTCCGCTGCATTCGATTTCAAATAAGATTTCATCTGGAGAAATTCGAATTGCGAAAATGAAATGATGCTCGTTTTCAGCTCTTATCTCAAGTTATACACTTGCATTTAAAATGTTCCTTCATGAGAAGAGATTTATAGAAAAAAAAGTTTAGGAGGAGTACTTCATTAATCTATATTGAGAAACGGGGTGAAAGAGCTCCTTCATGCGAACTTTTAATGGAGGGCTGAATATAATTCGTTGAGACGTTCTTGTGTTCTGTCAGATTGCAGAGCATCTTCAACAATTCCAATATTCAAGATATCTCCAAATGCATTTCCCGGAGAGCTTGACCATTGATTTTAAGAAATCACTTGCGAAGGGTCAGGAGTACACCAAAACACGAGTCAAACATTGAGAGTCAAACGTTGAGCGCATGTAGCACTTGCTTTCACATTGACTTCAATGCATCCATGTCATGCAATGAAATGGAGCTACAAATATTCGACAAATATGATGAACATGTGAGATTCGAGCCAATGAATATGTACAGTGAGGAAATGAAGCAGAATTGAAGCTATTAGTTAGACCAGAAGAAATCATCGAATGAGCGCAAAGTCTTGAAAAATATTTTCCTCCCTATTGTCAAATATATTAGATTTTAGATTTTGCAGTAACAATTCAATCAAAAGGCACACCATGTAAAAAAAGAACTTCGAAAATTGATATAACAGAGAAGTCCGGGCTGGAAAAGAGAAAATGGCCTGCATGTCAGGGCATGATAAACATAGATGGGAAAAATCTCTTTACAATTTTTTCCACGCCTTTGTAGGCTGAATGGAACAAAAGGCTGCCTCCTTTGAAAGAGTCCTTGTATGGGAGGTTCCCTTAATCAACAACAATGTAAGCAAGAATAACGCAAATAAACGAGCAAAATGCAAAAAACCATCATACGATTCTTTTGATAAGTGCTGTATCTATTGCCAAAAATTCTTTCGAGACATCTAGGAGGTGCTGCTTACTTGAGAATTCGTTTTTCTAATTCAAATGTATTGACGTAGGCAAAGCTCTTAATGAAGGAGAATCGTGTCCATTTAAAGACGAGTGAGGTCTTGAGAAAATGTTCGTGAAATATTGGGGGTTCCACCCTAATTAACCTCTCCTTGATACATTCTACGTGGAAATTACATGAAAATACTACATTCACACATTCACACCTGGCTCCAAAAGAATAGGGCGAATAAATCATGCGCTTGTAGTACTTTTGCATTCATCCCCTAGCAGCACGTGAGTTGAAGATCATAATAATTGTGCATAATTTAATTAATGAATCAAAAGGGGACACAGGGCATCTGGGAGAAAGAAAAAATATACATATAAAATGACTTGCAAAAATCAGTCACAAAACAATGCCATGGAAATGCGATATCCAATAATTAATAAGCTGACAATGCTACAAGGATAGTTCTACGATCTCTTGAAGGTATCAGGACTCGTGATACTCGTGGGAAAAATCAACGGAGTGATATAAAATGTATTCATGTTTTACTTGCATTGTAGGGCAAAATTCTTATTGCATGTCGAAGACTCTCCTCGGTCAAACTTGCCTTCCAGAAATCTGAAGACATCGATCTTAAATTTACTAAGGAAGTGTTTCATTTGAATAAGGAATTCATGACCGTACGGTTTCTCATTGAAAATTGCCCAAGGTGGTATGTGTCAGAGCTTCTAATCCAAGGAGACTGCATTAAAAGGATTTTAGAGTTGACCGGTATGTGCATCTTGCATAACACATGGAAAGGAATAAGAATTTTGTGAGTATAATGCCTTAATGCACGACCGAAACAAAAATCTCGCCTCAAGCTCATCTCCGGAATTGCCATTGAGTTCCTTTGGTTCATTGTGGTAGTTTAATTTCGCAGATGTATCCGTTCGCGGCATTGGTGCACCAACGGTCATTCCAGCAAGCAATACCGGGAGCATAATTCCAAACCCAGATGCAATTGCCACCTGCATAACCATCTGGTTCGATCGAACAGAAGTAAGATTGACCTTGCCCGCCGACAGAAACGTTGGTACCTGAAAAGAAGAAAATGATTTCAGACCCTAAAAAATGGCGAATAATCCTAATGCATCTTAATAGACGTTAATGCAGATTGTAGGGTGGTAGGAATAACGATCCAAGTATATCGTGTTCTATTGTAAACCTTTACTTTTCTAGAGCCTGTGTCTTTGCTCCTAGTATAGCGAACTACGCAATTGATAAATTTATCAGAAGCCCTGTACTACATTTTGATTGTGCCTTTTTCCTTAAAAAAAATATTATGATCTGGACGAAGTTATGCATACTACATACAATTTTTTTTCTTTCTAATTTAATGGGAGTGATGCCTGAACACGTTGAGAAAGGTGATGGGAAAAAGGCGAACCCTGCATCAATAGAAAGGAATGCAAACTGTTTCATGAAAGGTTGTGCCTAAGTTAAAAAATTTGAAATATATATTTTGGGCCATTTTAAGAATAAACATAATCTTTCTCAAAAAGTGGCATTTTTAATGATAGGCATTCGATTCCCATCTCGCAGCAAATTTTTGGTTGGGGTCTGCGAACTAGTCACTCAGTGCAAAAAGGGTGGAGAAGAGGTGAAACACTTTCTATAAATAGTTTTGCCAACCATTAAAACCCATTCGATATTAAGAAGCCGGAAGCTCTAATAGGCACCCATAATAAACTGGAGTGACTACTTAATCATTATTGTACTTACGCAAAAGTTCAAAAGCTCTGGGCTCGCCAGTAAAAAGCTGGGAATGTAGACTCACCATCTGGGAATGTCCAGTGGTACATGTCCGCGACGCTCAGCCCACCGACCCAGTAATACTGACCAGCAGGTACACTGGCCCATTGTTGCTTAATGTAATTGTTCACCAATGCATTGTTGGAGGAGACCAGCTCACTGCCTTCATTCTTGCACGCCAACGCAGCATTAGCTTCATTAATGTTTTGGCCACCGACAAGCTTCACGTAACTCTTTGTTCCCGGCACCAGGTTATACCCTTCCAAAAAGTCAATTATTTCAATTTCATCGGCAAAGTACGGTAAATAAATAAACAGTGGGCATTATTTAGGGGGAAACGTTATTGAAATAATTGTACCACCTATCTACAGAGAAATAGAAATTTCCACTTTAGCTTAATTTCATGCCATGTTGTATCTTTTTCTTTCATCCATTGGTTCATGGTTCAACTTCTTTGTTAAATTGTAAAGGCTCATGGAATAATAAAAGTTTGGACGACTGGATCTCCAGAGGAATGCTAATTAAATCAAAGTTGCCTATGGATGGAAAGTATTAAATTGCAAGCTATCTCCATACTTGTCGCAGGAATTTCGACATATCTAAAAGAGATTCAATTTTACTTTCCTCGGGTGACAATGACCAAGGGAGTGAAATGAATTCGGAAGCAATTACATGCAAATATGATTAACTTTGCACTTTCAAAACTTCCCTGACTGGAATATTAGAGTTGTGAAATTTGTTCACCTGTTGGTATTGGCGTATCTTTGTAGAAGAATTTGCTCGATGCATCGGCAGTCCTCGGTTCGTCGTATCTGTATCCGAAGAGGCATGTGATATTCCCAGAAGCCTGTGTCACAGAGTAGCTGAAGCACGTCGAGTTCCTGCATGGGTGAAACATAGCTGAGATTCCCGCGAATAAAATCCATTATGCCATGTTAAATCTGCGTTTCCTTTCATAGAGAGAACAAAGGTTCATCTTTCTCCTGACTGACTTCATAATGACTGTACCACAAATAGCTTCGATGGGAAAAATCCTCATGTGCCATGTTAGTTGTCCCTCTGAAGATATTCTTAGGTACTTTTTTATTTGCCTGATTTGCAACACTTAATTTAAGTTGCGGATACTTTGCAACGAGGGTGGTTCACATTTTGCCTGGACATTTGTTGATGAAAGGCTGAGTAGAGCATAGAGATTAATTTTTGCAAAGAATTAGTATTCTTATTGTTCTTGACTCATACCCACAATTCCACTTTTCCTGCTTCAATACTTGTTCTGAAAACGAAGATGGCGGAAATTGAGGTAACAGAAAAGATGGAGCAGCCTATCATTATGACATTCAAGGCAACGGGAATATCAAATCTTTTGACCATTTTAGACGATTTTCTGCACAGAATGTTAATGATTGCCTGTTTAAAAAAAACCTTCCTTTGGTCAAAATGAGACTCAATTCCTTTGACTTTCTTGAACGAATTTGCCCGATCTTGCACCATGTGGTCACTCTGTACGCTTCCACGCACATTTCTAAATTATTTGCACTAATCATATACGGGTGTCCTTGACAGGCACTGATCGTCATACTAGAATAGAAAACATGCAAGAATGGATAAGGGTTAAGAACACTATGAAGACGAATTCTAGATTTGAAAACCTGCATGCTCTTCTCAGTCTTGTATTAACAAAAGTCCGGGTCAAATTTGAGCCACACTCGTAGATTGTATGTTTTCTAATGATGGCACGTGGTTAGGTAACTCCTATGCATATGGTGAAAAAGCAGAGAGAAAAAATTGGCAACGTTCTTAAGAATCGAAGAAATGGGCCGCACAGTGGCAAATATAATTTAACCTCTCTTTCTCTTAATCTGCTTCACAATTCAGTTCTTGAGGGTGAAACTCTAAGGCAATGTCACGATGCGATTCAATGCAATAGCAACATGTTCTTAGTTTGTATTTTGTATTGATGTAGACTATGGTCACCGAGAAAATAATGCAACAGTTCTTTATTTTTCAGCCGAAATATTAAATAGAATGAAAAAATTACCATTTACTAGGCTGCAAGATTGAAATGTGCCGCGCTTAGCTGTAGAGTTTCAAAACATTCCGACAGATAGCGCAGATGTAGTGAGTCATGAAGATGGCGTCTGCTGGTGCGGTGCATATTAAACAACGTTCTGGGATTGAGTTTCTCGTTGCAGAAAATGAATCGGTAATGAACATTCACAGACGTCTAAAGAATGTCTATAGAGATAATGACATGGACAAAAGCAGTTAGTCGTTGCGCTAAGCTAGCAATACGCGGACAAAAATTTTCATGGAGATGAGGTGGTTACTGTGGATGAAGACGTGGCTGCGAGAGAAAGACAAAGACTGGAACGGGATGAAGATACAAGCCATTGTTTCTCGATGGCGTAAAGTTATAGAAGTAGAATGCAACTTTGTAGAACAATAGAGTATGTAGTCAAAACTCCCAGCTACATTGCGAATATTTCCAAAATATTTTTCAATAAATTTTGACGAAAAACGTTGTGTTGCATTATTTTCTGGCGACCCTAGTAGATGTATTTGTCAGCTTCGTGCATGAGTTCACGTTGACACAATTTAAGTCTTTTTCCAGCAATTGTGTTGCTGAAGTAAGTGATAATAATTTTTTTTTTATTCATCTCCAGTGGTTTGCTTTTTGTAACAAAGGGTTACTTTTTGGAAAAATATTTGCTATTTGAATGGATGTTACGAGGTTGTGAATACTTTCTTTTAGGCCATTTATCTGAAAACAAGTTTTGTGGAACTCACTGCATGCAAAGCATGGCGCACTGAAGCTCATATTCAACGATAGTCTGCCAAGTCGGGGACGTGATTTTCATGTTCTGGTTCTGAGGGACGAAGAATCGTTGAGTCACCATATCTCCCATCGCCCTCCACATGAACAAAGTGAGAAGCCAGGGTAGCAGCTGCATCTTCCTCCGATTCCTTTCGCCGCCCAAGTGGAAGGGGAAGCGGCTCGCACAGCCTAAACATGCTTGCCCAGTTCGACGACCTTACGTCATATGTCTCGTCTGCTACAATCGTTCGATCTGGTCGGTCGGCGCAGCAGAGGCACGCAACCTGTTCCTCTGGAAATTATATATTGTCCGAAGATCTAGATCCTATGCTCTCTTATGCTCAAATCAATCTCCTGTTGTTGATCATATTTTCATCGAAGGATGGAAACGGATATTAAGTTTCCGGTGTTAGCATTTCTCGTCACGAAGTACAAAGAGAATATTTATTCATGTTACCTCATATTCTAGTACGGCAAGGATGATTTCACGGACTAAAAGCATTCTTTGCTGAATGACACATGAAAGAGTGATGCGAAAGATGTCATGAGACTTAACATACTTGATGCACTTAAAACAGTGAGTCATTTGAATCATCATACTAGAAATGACACAGGCTCAAGTTTGTCGGATGAAACATTAATGATCTCTGACTGTTGGACATGTCAACTGACACATGAAATAATTCTAGCCACAGAATATGTTATTCCACACACTTTTGACACGTTCATTGGGACCATTGGGAAAAAAATTATATGATATTATATTAAATTATATTCGGACACATTTGGGTCATAAAGCGGTACTTGATATTATCACGTGACACATTTCTCTGCAATTCTCGAGATTACTATGAAGTAGCACTTGCATCTCCAAATGCGAAGCTTTTTTCGCAAAGTGTCTCTCTTTCTTCAAAAGAAAGAGCATTTTAATGAGGAATTTTCGCTTACGAATGTGAAGACCTAGAATTGTTCCCCATAAATGTTCCATATTTAGGTCTCCAAGGTGATAGGACACGGTAAGGCCCTGATACTCTGACAACATATATCGGCGAGTACTTGCATAATGCATAGACCTATTTGCTAGTGACTCCCTGCGACATTGAAAACTTTCAATCTTCAGGCTGGTATTCGTGAGGAAGAGCCAATATTAAATACCAAATTCGGCCATCCTCAGGCGAGTACTTGCCAGAGAGAGNGTCGGATGAAACATTAATGATCTCTGACTGCTGGACATGTCAACTGACACATGAAATAATTCTAGCCACAGAATATGTTATTCCACACACTTTTGACACGTTCATTGGGACCATTGGGAAAAAAATTATATGATATTATATTAAATTATATTCGGACACATTTGGGTCATAAAGCGGTACTTGATATTATCACGTGACACATTTCTCTGCAATTCTCGAGATTACTATGAAGTAGCACTTGCATCTCCAAATGCGAAGATTTTTTCGCAAAGTGTCTCTCTTTCTTCAAAAGAAAGAGCATTTTAATGAGGAATTTTCGCTTACGAATGTGAAGACCTAGAATTGTTCCCCATAAATGTTCCATATTTAGGTCTCCAAGGTGATAGGACACGGTAAGGCCCTGATACTCTGACAACATATATCGGCGAGTACTTGCATAATGCATAGACCTATTTGCTAGTGACTCCCTGCGACATTGAAAACTTTCAATCTTCAGGCTGGTATTCGTGAGGAAGAGCCAATATTAAATACCAAATTCGGCCATCCTCAGGCGAGTACTTGCCAGAGAGAGAGAGAGCTGTATAAAAAGTAAAAGGCTACTTTATCATGGCACCTTGAGACGTAAAGGAAAGGTCGGGGCCACGAAAATACGAATCAAGGTAGAAGCAATTCCAGCTAAAGAAGCAGATTCCTATCCGCAAGGCCCACGCCCTTCCCAACGATACCTAACTGCTGGCTGCAAATGAACCGTCTGTTTGGTCCATCGGTCGCTAAGGAACACATAAATCAGGCATGTTACCTCATCTTCAGCTCGGCCGAGTCCGACCAACTGGATTATCGATTTCACTTGCAATCAGTTCCAATCTGTGTAATATTCTTGTTCCTGGAAATTCCTTTAACGCCATGGGCGATAATATCTAGGAAAACATTATCATCGCTTTCATCACTTCACCCCGCGAAAGAAAACCAGCGAAGCGAAGTGACATCCAGAGCGGGTCTAGAGCAACGCAGCATCCAATCACCAGCTCTACCATTCCATGCTTAGACTGCCCCTTGCTCCTCCCTTCTCCTCCTTCGAGGCTTTCATCCGGGGGAAAGGGTACTCTGGCCCACTTTAGACAACTTTGGTAAGTCGGTTTGAAGTACTTTTGTACCACATTAGTTCACGACCATCGTTTAGAAAAGTTACCCGTAAGCTCTAACTGCCACATTAATAAGAGTAAACCATTCACGCATTTTCAGTTTTGCCCAAGAAGTCATGCAGCTCTATACATTATACCCCTGATAATAATGTCATAAATATTGATAGCAGAAGCGGCTCGGCTACTCGTTGTTTTGTAATGGAGTCTCTGCTCCATCCGTGAATGGCTTCAGCAGGAGCTTGCGTGCATTAATTGGCAAAAATGGAAAAAACGACCTGACGGGACCTAAAAGGACGTTCCGCCTGAAAAATTGCACTTGTAGGGAATCGTCATCCGAAACAAGCGAACGACCTGTGCTCAGCATATGAACATCGGTAAAGATGTCTCTTCATGTCCCAAATCAAACCTGGGATCATATGTCTACAACCATGAATAATTTAACCTTTCCTCCTTCTGCCTTGTGCCATGCATAATTGAAAGTCGTCCGCTCACTGATTTTATCGGTATTCGGTAATCGGACAAACACGTCCCTTTATGCGGGAGCTGCACAAAGAACTGTCTTTCTCCCGTTAGCCAATGGACGGGGGGGGGGGGCGGGGCTGGGCGGGAGGAGCTCCTATAGAGGAGCAGCTGCCCATTTTAGAGGTGAGCTGTTAGTAGAACAAAATCACCGCCTCCTCTCAGGATTCTTCAGCCACCGAGTCGGGCTGTAACACACTATTCATTATAACTGATGTCATCACAGGAGGACGTTTTCGATATGCAATCCCCACCCCAAAACCCCCTTCCTCCCTCTTCCGCCCCTCGGACAGACGGACGCAATTGAAATTAACCACACCAATGTGGGCGAATCCCAGTCTAAGAAATATTTACGACCAGCAGCACACAGCACAGAGACGATCCGCAAGACTGTATTTTTTTTGCAAGTTCCCGTCTCCAATATAGTTTTCAAATGCTTCCCAGACTAAAATGCGATTGCAATACGGAAAACAATGCACAATTTGGAAAACTCTTGCACTGAAGTGAAAGTACGCTATATAGGAGAGGGGAGCTTGCAAAAAAAGACGGTCTTGTGAATCACCTGCAGACCTCCTGCAGACCTTCTTACACGATCTAAAATGAAATGAAGTCAAATCTCACTCATCCGCATTTTCTTCAGAATTCAAAGGAAATGCATTTCAGGAAATGAGTAACATTTTGGTGCCAATAAAAAAAATATATACATTTTGAGAAAATCGCTACTGCAGCAAATTTTTGTCCGTTTCGTCGGCATTCTGTCTCAAGTATTGAAAGAATAGATGAACCATTATTAGCTTTAGAAAGACAGTATGTTCTCAGACATTTCGGACTATTACTTGAATAACATTACACTAGACTGCTAGGAAAAACCCTCAGGAAGAAGGATATGGGAAGTTATTGCTCCTACTTAGAGTTTGAAGGACTGGAAGAAGGGCGAGGGACTGAGATGATTATCAGTTGGTGCTGCCGCCAGTGCAATAAAAAGAAACACCACAAATCGTTTTCTTGTGGTAAATCCAGCCCTTTTCAAATGGCGGGTCTCCATGATTGCATTTTTCCAATGCATTTTTAATGAGAGAGTCTAAGGGAATCGGTACCAACCGTGTTTTCCTGGGTATCATCTGCTATGACGTTGAAGGAATTTCCTTCAATGAAGAAAATGAGAAAACTAGGTACTGATTGTAAGTGAGATCGATAATCCAGTTGATCGCTCAACGCGGTAGAGGAAAAGATTACGTTCTACGTGCTACGTACTTATGTACGTTCTACGTACGTAATCCATGTGTACCTCAGCGACCGATGCCCAAACAGACGGGTCTTTTGCTGCTTGAAGATCGGTATCGTTCGGTGGAGTGTTGTCCTTGCTGATAGTAATCTGTCTCATTAGGTTCATTCGTGACCTCGCCTCTACTTCGTATTCTCATTTCGCCTACCTGTCTTTCTTTGGCGTCTCAAAAGGCCCTGATGCATTTGCATTGCACTTTCTATCGAGTAAGCTCTAGTAATTACTCACCTGAAAGACGAGACATTTGGCATTTCAAATTCGGTTCAGGTGAATTCTTCCTTACGAAAAATTGCTTGATATTTGAAATATTTCAAATTCGTTGCGAGTTATAACGTGTAAGGCCAAACAATAGGCTAGTACTCGCTGCGGTAGGTCGCCAGAGTATCAGACCTTTACTGCGTCTCAGCGGAAATATGGAAACATGGAATTGAAATACCTACATATGGAACATTGAACGGCTACAATTCTAGGTCTTCACATTCGTAAGGTCATCAGCGGCTAGCAGAGAACATCGGCTCAAATGATATAGATAAGCAGGGAACAAGCAGCACACGACACAGACAATCCGCAATACAGTCTTTTTTTTTCCAAGCTTACCCCTCCCTAACGCTCTGCAACCCAAGCACTTCGAAATATGAACTTGGGTTTTTCGCGTTAATCTGTTACATGAACTATGGATGTGCGTTTGCGCGATGAAATTTGAAGATAGACCTCAGGAAAGGGTGGAGTAGCTGCTTATCCTGAAAATCTGAGTTTCCCTCTCGCCCTCCACCTTCAGGATGGACGAGGAGGCTGCAGTTGGGGCCGGGTTCCTCAGGGGACGGTGGCATCGCTCATCGCAGTGCCTCCCGCCTGCTGTCGTGCATTGAGGGATTCTAAAGCTTCCGCCGTGAATCACGGGGCGATTCGTGAGCTCGTCGCTACTTGCGCACATGCCTTCAGCCTTTGGCAGTGCTTACGAATAAAGCGAGAAAGCCGACAAACGCGAGAGT